AATTAGATAATGTGTGGTTCTACATTGGGGTTAGAATTTCACAGTGGCCACTGACATTCCCAAATGTAAGCTGTTACTTATGTTGTGAACCTTTGCATAGATAATGCAAAAACAGTGGAGGGTAAAATTGCATGTCAGGAAAAAAAGTGGCTAGTTTCTCTTCAGAATGTCCCTAAGGAAGCAGTAAAAATTCATTTTATTCCAGCACTTGAGTGCATACCTTCTTATGATTTCAGTGAACATTCTATGTTGTGTACTGAAGTTCTGGGGTTGTCCAAGTAAAATCACCGGCACTGTTACCTCGGTTGGGAGCTGAAGTTTGCATTAAAAGGCCACAGACTTTGACATTTTTTTTCCCCCTAAAACAACCAATTGAACTTGTCACTTTAAGGAAAAGAATGCTAGTATTGTTTTGACAATATAAAATTAGTTTTCTGGGGCTGCGATGTAGCTTCATGGTAGAGCACTTGCCTGGCATGCTTGAGGCCTTGGGTTTGAGCCTCATCAAGGCAAAAAAAAAAAAAAAGTTGAAAAATGTAATTTCAGGAAACTTATATCTACCATTGTGAATTTCAGTTTCATGATACTTAAGATCAATGATATTGATGATGATGATTTTATTGTTTAGTGAAATATGTCAACTCAGCTGGTACTTCCCAAATGGCTAATGCATGACGTTACAAAATAAATGATAGAAGAATCCAAAGTGCAAGGTAGATCAATGGATTTTAGTGAAATAAAGAAGAAAAGTTAATGTATATGGTTTTTAATTTTTAAAAAATTTTTGGTACTGGGGATTGAACCCAGGGGTGCCTCAACCACTGACATCCCAGCCCTTTTACTTTTTGAGATTGGGCCTCTCTAAATTGCTGAGGCTAGTTTCCAAGTGGCCATTCTGTCTCAGCCTCCAGAGCCGATGGGATCTAGGGGCTGTGGTGTAGTTTCATGGTAGAGCACTTGCCCGGCACCGGGCCCACCCACAGGGTTCTGAAGCTGAGAGAAGCCCACTCGCTCTGTTAAAATTCAGGGACCTGGTTGGGAGAAAAAGAAGTCTATTCAGACCAGGCGTTTTGAGAGCGAGGCTGGCCGGCGTCTTCTCGGCCTTCCAGGTATTTCCTCCGAGAAGACCGACGCTCCCCAAACTCGCGGACGGCCGTCTTTCGCTTTTTCGTCCATGAGAACGTCACTAACGGGGACAAGTAGAGGGGTGTCAAGAACCCCTGCGATCCCAGGGTGAGGGACCGGGCCATCGCCGCTGAGGCTCCTGGCATCCCCCGTGCAGCCCCGCGCAGAAGCCTACGGGAGTTGTAGTTCCCCGAGTGCTGGGCTGCATGACGCACTTCCCGTGCGTTCGCGGGGCAGGGCGGGGCCTGTCGCAGGCGGCCGGATCCCTGTGCGGTCTTGGGCGCCCAGGGCCTGCGCCTGCTGTGCGGCTTGCGGAGCCCGAGCGGGTGCCCTTGCCCCACGGCCTCCTGGGCGTGGCCGGTAGGATCTGCACGGCCGCCGTCTGGGTGAGTGGGGCTTCCACTCATCCCGGGAAGGCTGCCAGGCGCCGGGCCTGCGAGGAGGGAGCGCTGCTGGCCGTCAGGCTGCTCTCCTGCAGTCGGCTTCCCGCCCGCCAAGCCTCTAGTTGGCGGATGGTCATTGCCCTCCAGCTTGTCCCGCTGGCGGTCACTGCGTCTTGGGTACTTGTCGGTTAACTCGTCCGATTGTCCTGGGTTTGTGGGCCCGCGGCAGGTGCCGAGTACGGAGACAGGGTGCGGGGGTCTGCCGGCTCGGCGGGGAGCCGGCGGCGGATAAGTGTGGGCGTGCTGCAGAGCTGCAGAGCTGTCGTGTTTCCCTGTGGTGGCATCGGGCTTCCCACCCATTGCCTCTTTCCATTTTCATTTCTCATTTCAAGCAAGGTCTCGCTGAGTTGCCCAGACTGGCCTCCAACTTGCAGTCCCCCTGCCTCATCCGCACCTGTAGCGGGGATGACTGGCACGCACCATCAGCCCAGTGGAAAAGAGGTTTGTGAACGGAGTTTGGGAAGGTGAATGTGCTGGAAGAGGACTGACCAGCCAGTTCGTGAAGGGAGCCATGAGTACACATTTGAGAAGCATCAGATGAGCTGCTGTGTTGGTGAAATTTGGGCTCTTTAGGATTGCTGGAATGAAGAGTTGTGGGGCTTAATGGTGGTGGTGGAAGTGTATTTTAAGAAGTGAGGCCGGATGTGGTGGTGTACGCCTGGGAAGCAGAGGCAGGAGCATTACAAGTTGGAGGCCAGCCTCCGCAATTTAACAAGATGCTGTCTTAAAAGAAAAGAAAAAAAAAAAAAAAAAAGAAGCCAGAGCCATAGGTAGGGAACACATCATAGAGGACTTTGTGAACCCCATTAAGAAGTTAGTTGGGGGCTGGGCATGTGGCTCAAGCGGTAGCGCGCTCGCCTGGCATGCGTGCGGCCCGGGTTCGATCCTCAGCACCACATACCAACAAAGATGTTGTGTCCGCCGAGAACTAAATAAAATAAATATTAAAAAAATTCTCTCTCACTCTCACTCTCACTCTCACTCTCACTCTCTCTCCTCTCTCACTCTCTCTTTAAAAAAAAAAAAAAGAAGTTAGTTGCCTATCATCCTGTAGGGGAGGTAGATTGCATTGTAGAGTTTCTCAGATGATATTTTTTTGACCTGGAAAAAGTTTTTTAATTATGAGACTAGAGTTACATAATTTATTTGGTAAGAACTTTAGTGAAAAAAAAAAAAGAACAATATGAGAAAAAATGTACTCAAGGGAAGTAGGGAAATGAAAACTCTAAAAAAAAAATTAAAATGCTGCAAATAAGGATTGATACATTTTACCAATGAATCTTGTGTACTATTCTATAACACACTTCTATGTACAAAATTATACTACACACTAAATTTTGCACACACATACAGGCACAGTATATATAAGATTATGTCATAATTTGTGAGAGATGGCTACAGATGCAAAAAATTTAAAATACAGAAAAATTAAATCTAACAAGAAGAGATATTTAATCAAGGGAAACATGTTGCATTCACATCTTCATGCTGAAACAGTCCCTACATCCACTCCAGGGTGCATTTTCATTACCCCTGAATAGACAAGAAAGGTTCTTTGCTGAAGAAATTGCATGACTAATTCCAGTGAAAAAGCAGGCTGAAGAAGGGAATCACAAGTTCCCAACTCAACCTCAGCAACACAGTGAAGACCTAAGCAATTCAGTGGGACCATGTTTAAATATTTGAAAAAAAAAATTAAAAAAAAACGGGATGTGACTCTGTTGCAGTAATTCACATGCAGGTCAGCATGGCAAAAGAAAGAAGAAGCAGAGCAAGCAAAGCAGCAGCAGAAAAAAAAAGTCCTTTATTGTGTACAAGCAATCTTTTTATAGTCACACTTCAGAACACTTCTGGTAGCCAAGATAGTCACTTGATCGCCAAGCCAGGAAACAGTGTGTTGTAAATTGATCACATCTGTAGCCAATTGAGAGTCAGTCCTTTTGTTGTTGCCATAATAAATGAGCATCTTGATGCCATGTTCTCACGAAATCCGAAGTTTGAATGCCTTGATGTAAAGCAACGCCAGCTACTGCAGCAGTGGCAGTTACAGAAGCAACTGCAAGGATTGAAGCTATAACTATTCCTATTAATCGTCGAGAGCGATGTAACAAAACTTGAACAGCATTGTACAAATGAGTAACAGACAGTGAATCAGACCAAGGATGAGTCAAATTAACAGGCACCCACAATTCTGTGCGAGCTTTAACAATAACTAAAGAATAATTATTAATTTCTATTAATTCCCAATTCTATTTACACATTGAGTAAGATAACAGTCTATACAAGATATTGTTCCCCAAGTTACATTCCATTCCCAGTTTCCAATCATAAGAGAATAAGGGAATTTAACACATGTAGAAGCAAAATAAGTCAGATTATTATGCAGATGTATTTCAAAAGGAGAGGAATGGGATACATCTAACGTGAAATTTCCAGTCCATACAGTGAGTTTCCCACATACCCGGGGTGCTTACCCTTTCGGTGCTGGATCCTGCCGACTACGCCAAATGTTGCAGTAATTCATGTGCAGGTCAGCATGGGAAAAGAAAGAAGAAGCAGAGCAAGCAAAGAAGCAGCAGAAAAAAAAGTCCTTTATTGTGTACAAGCAATCTTTTTATAGTATTGTGAACAAAGAAGGCAGCCTTCCAACATCAATAAATCATGGCTTCTCATGGCTAATCTACTCTCGGCCTGGAGTATGCTGAGCTCTGCTCTTGTTAAGAACAGATAATAAAATTTTTCTCAGCACCCTCCTAGCCCACTTGACCCACTTGGCAGAACATGCCGTTTGCAGGCAAGTCCTCCCAAGGACAGCAGACACCTTGTTTTCAAGCATGTCCACTGTTACCTTATCTAAACCTTGAAGGAACCTCTCATTTTCGAGCAGGCCCTCCCAAGGATAGCAGACACCTCGTTCAAGCAGGTCCACTGTTACCTATCTATGCCTTGACAGAATATCCCGTTTGCAGGCAAACTCCATCAAGGACATTAATAATAATGCAGTCACATCTGATTCTCTGCATGACTCAGTGGTTAAGTATCTCTGGCCTTAATTCCTGGTACCAAAACAAGTAAAAGAGAATAAAGTAAAAAATTCCCTCAAGTTTGATGAGTACGTGTGAAACAACTGAGAATCTCATGACATTTTTGTATACAAGGCTTTTCTCCAGAGTGAGTTCTCCCATGATACTCAAAATGAACCTGGAAAGGTGAAAGTGTCATCACATTGTTTAAAGAGAAGAAAGGTTTTCCATGATATAGAATCCTTTTAAGTCTTTAGAGGAAACTGTGAAAGATGAATACTGCCCCGCATGGCTTAACCACAAGATTTTATACAGTATGAATCCTTTCATACAACTAAACAAAACTAGAACACCTAAGCCCTTTGTATTTCTTACTTGCATACAGTTTATTCAATTTGACATGAATCTTTCAAGAAGAATCTTCCCAGTCCTAAGGAAAAAGTGGGAAAATTAGAAGACTTCCCACATTTCTCACGTTCTCAGGGCTTCTCTCCATAATTATTTTCATATATGAGAAGGAAAGCAGGGGTGGGATGGGAAGCTGACAGGATGTATCCAATCCTTCACATTCTGAGAATTTGTTTTCCAGTGTGAGTGAAATAGCTTTGAAGGCACCAGGAAAAATAGAATGATTTTCTAATTTTTTTTTCCATTTAAAGCATTATTCAGTTAGATGTGGTGGTGTATGCCCTTAATCCCAGAGACTCAGGGAGCTGAGGCAGAAGGATCACAAATGTGAAGCCAGAATCAGCAACTTAGGAAGACACTAGGGAACTCTGCAAGTTTCTGTCTCAAAATAAAAAGGAAAAGGGATGTGGCTCAGTGATAAAGGAACACCAGACTAAATCCCTAGTACAATAGATAGATTGATTGATTTATTGATTCAGACATGTGAGTACTGAAAGAACAATAAAGGCTTGCCGTCGGAGAAAATGCCCGTTTATTGAGGAACAGCTCTGCATATTTATAGAGCAGGGGGCCGTTTGACAAGTTATGACAGTTATGACAGTTTAATGGTTGAACGGTTTGACAGTTGGCTGGGGTGGTTTCTGATTGGTGGGTAAGGATCATGTGAGCCAGCAGGGCTAGTCTGATTGGTGGGTAAGGATCATGTGAGCCAGCAGGGCTCACCATTGGACAGCAGGATCATGTGAGCCAGTGGGGCTCACCATTGGATGGCAGGATCAGGTGAGCTAGCAGGGCTCACCATTGGACAGCTCTTCTTGGGGGATGGGGAAGTTAGTCTTTGGATCCGGGGCGACTCCCAACATTAGTACTTTCTTCTCTTTGAATTTGACAAGAAATATTGATTTACCACATTTCACATTCAAAGAATTTTTCTCCAGAAAATTTACTACATGTTAATTAGTGAAACATTATTAACAGAAGAATTTGCCAATTGTTTTTATGAGTATGATTTCTCTGCTCTGTGGGTTCCTTCATGTAAGTGAAACTGAGCAGATATAACAAAGGCTTTTCCACATTATTTACAATCATAGAGCTTCTCTCTGGTATGTGTTCTTCCATGTCTTTGAAGGTCACCGGAACTAGGACGGGCTTTGCCACAAAGCTTCCACTTATAGGGCTTCTATCCAGTATGAATTTTTTCATGTGAGTGAAGGCTAGAGGGCTGAGTGAATGCTTTTCCACACTGCTTACACTCATAGGACTTCTCTCCAGTATGGATTTTTCCATGAATCTGAAGGTCATTGGATCTAGCAAAGGCTTTGTCACACTGCTTACATTCATAGGGCTTCTCTCCAGTATGCATTCTTCCATGAATGTGAAGGTGACTGGAAGTAGCAAAAGCTTTCCACACTGCTTACATTCATAAGGCTTCTCTCCAGTATGTGCTCTTCCATGAATCTGAAGGGAACTGGATGTAGCAAAGGCGTTGCCACATTGCTTACATTCATGGGGTTTTTCTCCAGTATAAATTTTTTTCATGTGTCTGAAGGCCTGAGGACCTAGTGAAGGCTTTTCACACTGCTTACACTCATAGGGTTTCTCTCCAGTATGCATTCTTCCATGAATCCGAAGGTTAGTGGATGTAGCAAAGGCTTTGCCACATTGCTTATACTCATAGGGCTTCTCTCCAGTATGTGTTCTTCCATGAATCTGAAGGTCACTGGATCTAGCAAAGGCTTTGCTGCACTGCTTACATTCATAGGGCTTTTCTCCAGTATAAGTTTTTTCATGTAAGTAAAGGAGACTGGGTGTAGCAAAGGCTTTGCCACACTGCTTACATTCATAGGGCTTCTCCCCAATATGTACTCTTCCATATTTGTGAAGGGTAGTGGAACTAGCAAATGCATTGCCACACTGTTTACATTCATAGGGTTTTCCTCCAGTATGAAGTTTGTCCTGTGAGTGAAGGCCATAGGACTGAGTAAAGGCTTTTTCACATGCTTACATTCATAGGGCTTCTCTCCGGTATGTGTTCTCTGATGTATTCTAAGTAAACTGGGATAAGCACTGTCTTTCCCACATGCCTTACATTTGGAACGTGCATTCCCTGTGTGTGTGATCCTGTACATTTGAAGACTTGTGTGTGAAATAAAGGTTTGACCACCTTGTTTACATTTACAGTTTCTCTCCAGAAGGAGTTCTTTCATGTCTGCTAAATAAAAAGGAGAAATGAAAGGCTTTCCCATGTACCTCACATTGAAAAGGTTGACCTCCACTGTGTGTTCTCATGTGTCTTTGAACACCTGTGGGAGTAGAAGAGGCTTCATCACATTGTTGATAGTCATAGGGTTGCCACCCAGTATGAGTGTCTTTATGCCTTTGAATGTCACTGGAGCAACTGAAGACTTTCCCACGTACTGTACTTTCATATGGTCCATCTACAGTTTGTGTTAACATTTGTGTGTGAACACTTTTGAGAGAATCCAGGGATTGCCTGTACTGTTTAAATTCACATGGCTTCTCTTCACATTTCTCATGCTTGTAGCATTTTTGTCCAGAGTAAGATGTGATGTGCCTTAGAATGCTCTCAGAACTTTCAATCTCATCTTCAATGTTCTCTTCATCCCATTTGTTTCCTATAAAAGCCAGGTTTCTGAGGACTTCCAGCATCACATCTCTGTAAATGTTCTTTTGGGAAAGATCCAAAAAAGCCCATTTCTCCTGGGTGAAGTTCACAGCCACATCCTCAAAGGTCATTGAGATAATTTTTGTCTGCCTTGGTGACCCTGTGATTTCTCGAGGAACCTCCAGGCACCACAGATCTCAGGGACACAGGCTGCTCAGAAGTACCTAGGCTTTTCACACAGCGGATTTTTAGATGGAAGAGTCTGCAACTGGCAAGAGAACACTAAATAAACTAGTGGTTTTGAGAAGAGGAGGTAGGGGCACAAGGTACTGCATTTGATAAGTAGCTGAGTACTGGTGGCCAGAGAGTCAGAAGGCCAGGAAGGAGGCTGGAGCTCTGGTCTGTGGGCCTGCGTTTATGGTTGCACCAGACCAGGTGGAAGGGAAGACTCTTGGTTTTTCTTGGGAGGGGTGTTTAGATTTCTGGTGGCAGTTGCTGGTGGGTAGGTGTGCATCTCAAGAGAAAGTTCCACTGATTGCTCAGGGAGAACAGTGCTTAGGGCAATAGCAAGGGAAGTCAAGGAAAGAGTGGTGGAGATGAGACAGAGCCCAAGAGAAGCATGAGAGAATAAGGAGAGACTTGTGTTCCAGTGTTAAAGAAAGGGAAGCCTGAAAAAATGGTTGCTTCCCTGAGCTGCCCCAGGGAGATCAAGTAATATTAGATCATTATCTTGGTCCATTGTGCTGTTATAGCAAAATGCCTCAGACTGGGTAATTTATAGAGAACAGAAATAAATTTTGTCATGATTCTAGAGGCTGGAAAGACCAAGATACTGGTGCCAGCATTTCAGTGTCTGCTGAGGGCTGTTCCCTACTTCCAAGGTGGTGCAGCCTTAATGTGTCCTCATGTGGTGCAGATGGTAAAAAGGGCTGCATGTGCCCTTACCTGGCAGGAGAGGTGGAAGGGCAGGCAGCTTTCTGAAGGCTCTCTTACAGGGCATTAGTCCCACTCATGAGGGCAGAGCTCTTGTGACCTGATCCTTTCCCAGAAGGCTTACCCTTTTAGTCCACCTCAGTAAGGATTAAGTTTCACCATGAAACTTTGAGGAACACAAACATTTAAACCACAGTGGTCATGGAATCCTAAATTGCATTTAGTGGTGATGGATGGTGGTGTTTCTAGTAATATTTCTAGAGAAGAATGCAGGTGTGTGTGCATGATAGGTGGGGAGGGTGATGAAAGTGTGAATGGGGGTGGGGAGCATAGTTGGGTGCAGAAATGGAACTTGGGGCAATGGAGACGGTGGCGTAGACTTGGTTAAGATGCTCTGCTGTGATGGGACGAAACAGCTTGTGGGGAACCAGCAGGATCTTGGGTTTCATACCAAGATGGTATGAAATCTGTTTGAAATCAATAGATTTACTCTTTGCAGATGGTATTTATTCAGAAAGTATATGAAAGAAGTTATGTTACTTGCCATTGAAATAAAAGGATAAAATTGCATTCAATTTAAGATATGTAGAAGACTTAGATAAAGAGAGCTTTACAATGCCAGTATGCTAATCAACATATATATATAGTGTAAGGTCAAAGCACTCTTGGCAGGGGGTGGTAGTACTGCAGATTGAACCCAGAGCCTCCCAGATGCTAAGCAAGTTCTTTACCTATGATCTACTTTGCCAGCCCCCTTCTGTCGGAGTCCACCTCCAACAGGGGTTCTCAGGAGATGAATGGATGGATGGTGAGGAGTTGGCGAAAGGGGGTGGAGAAACAACACAGACACAAAAGTGAAGATGCTGAATCTCAATCTTTACTTGTGAAGTTAATCATATATACTTTTCATCTTGGCAGACTCACAGTACTTTGTGGTTACAAAACAGGAATCATTCAAAGAAACAAAATATTACATAGCTACAATTAGATAAGAAGAATGAATCTTGGCTTATGCATAAGCAAGCATTTTTACTTTCAGTTCTTGTTTTGCTTTGAGCTGTTTCTGCTTAGTTAGCTTTTTTTAAAAAAAATTTTAATATTTATTTTTTAGTTCTCGGCGGACACAACATCTTTGTTTGTATGTGGTGCTGAGGATTGAACCTGGGCCGCACGCCTGCCAGGCGAGCGTGCTACCGCTTGAGCCACATCCCCAGCCCCCTGCTTAGTTAGCTTTTAATAATAGTTAAAAATGTCCCGGACTATTGGCCTATACTTTGACTATTCTTTCTTGACTTACTGACTAGAATCGGCGCCACGGTTATTGCAAGTGGTTAACTTGAAAAGAGAGGCTACTAATTTTAATCAAACAAGAGCAAGAGCACAAACCATTGTGCACAGGAATAAGAACAAGTTGCCCAGTACTAAGTGCTAATCTGTCTTCTTAACATTAATTCTTCTTCTCTAGATTTTAATTTAATTTCTCAAAAACTTCCTTGACTGTTTTTCCTTCAGGGGGTTTTTCATTAAACATTAACAATTTACGTTCCACAGCTAAATCATTGCATTTAGAGTAAACAGATTTATTCTTTAGAAGTAGTTGCATTAATTGGGAAAGTCATGTTTTTTCCTTCATACTTAATGGTCATATGAGAAGTCGCAACTATACTTATCAAAGGAATACAAAAGCAAACCAGGCCATTACCAGAAACATACTGCGCTCCTCCAGAGGATGGACACCTTACGCTATCCACCTCAGTAGGGCATTGCCATTGCCTGAGTCAGGGGAGGGGCGCAGTACCCTTCCTTGTTTTTGTGCAGGAGATCAAACCCAGGGTTTCTTGCATGCTAGGCATGCACTGAACTACCACTGAACTAAATGGTAAGCCTTTCTTGATAAGCTGCCCAGGCTTACCTGGAATTTGCGACCCTCCTGCCTCAGCCTTTCAAGTAGCTGGGAGCACAGGTGTGGCCTCTATACCTGGCCAGATCTGAGCACTTTACACATATTAACTTTAATCCTCGCAGCAGCCTCATGAGGAAGGTACTAATGCTAACTGCTCTTACAGAGGAAATTTCAACAAAGATGGGTAAAGTGGTTTGCTATGTTCACAGCATGTAGGTTGCCGGAGGCAGTTAGACTCCAGGCACCGAGTTCTCAATACTAGAGTCCATATACTTGGAAGTTAAAGTGCACCCTAATGCTGGCACTGTGGGCACACCTGCTCAGGAGTCTGAGGCAGAGGATCTCAAGTTGGAGGCCAGTCTAGGCAACTTAGCCAAACACTGTCTCGAAAATGTAAAAAAGGGGGAGTGCAGGGGGCTCAATGGTAGAGCTCCCAGGATGGCAAAAGAAAAACAGCAGCAATAACAAAACAAACCAACCTGTGAACAGTCTTTGTAGAAGTCATTTTCATTGCTTCTCTGGATGGTTTTACTCTGTCCTTACTTCTTTAGGCTTTCTTCACTTTCACCTTTGCTGCCCTCTGGTTTCTGCAGGATTTTTCCCCCCTTTTTTTAAAATTTTTTTTTAGTTGTAGATGGACACAACTCTTTATTTATTTATTTATTTATTTTTATGTGGTGCTGAGGATCAAACCCAGTGTCTCACACGTGTGAGGCAAGCGCTCTACCACTGAGCCACAACCCCAGCCCCACTTTGTTCTTCCTAATTTGATCTTAGTTTCTCATTTTTTTCCCAGTTCATTTCTTAGTTCTTATATTTCTTATTTCACATTCTTCATCTGCCTTCTAGGTCCTTTATTTATGACTGTCCTTTCTGATTTTTGTTTTCCTAATTTTAACTTCTGAAACACTAGGTTACAATTTATGTGCATGTGCAAAAGGGTCAGATATTTTGGATGTGTTTTTCCTGTCTATGAGCCTTCTTTGGTTCTTTTAAAACCAAAGAAGTTTAAATAAGGTGTTTTTTGGCTGTTCTTTTGGGGTCTGGAATGGGCCAGATCTTGCTTCACTACCAGAGGCTCCTGTCTCTGTCTGTACCACGAAGGCTGTCCCTGCCAGGAGGCTTTTTCCTGCCCTGATCCTGTCTCTTGTGGGGCTGGACGTGCCTTGTGTTCTAGTGCATTTTCTCTCATGTTCACATGCTGTGTGTTGTTCAGATTGTTTCTGGGTAAGCCTCTGCTGGATCCTCTCTCTATCTAAATCCTGTCTCTTCCTTCTCTCCTGTGCCCCACTCTGAGCCCCCTCTACTTTTCCCTTCCTCCCTTGAGTCTATTTTTCTCTCTTGGGTCTCTGTTTCATTTTGGTCTCTGTTTCCAGTAACTTTCCCTAAGTCTGAGAATCTGTGCTCTGGAAGTAACTGCTTATCAATTTCTCAGCTCCCTGTGGTCTCAGATGATCAGATCCTTAGCACCATATATAAATAAATAAACAAAAGACATGCTCTCCACCTGCAACTACCAAAAACAAAATAAAACAAAAATAAACAAAAAAACCTCATAAATAAATAAATAAAAACAAAAAACAAACAAAAACCCCCAAAACCTCAAGAGGTGAACTGTTACAGCATCAGATGATGGGAGGGGCTGGCCATGACTGATACTTGTGGTCCAGAACACCTTGTGGGATGCCCCTGAGCATTTGGCAGCCATGCTCATTGACCTTGCTGCCTAGCAGTCCTGTAAATATCCAGTGAACCTGGTGGTTTGTTGCACTTCCAGGGCTTCAGGCTGTGTGGGAGCTGGTGGAACTGCCATCAATGTGCTGGGCTCCATATATGCATTCTGGTTCTTGCCCTGCTGCTGCCAACTACTGTGCACAGAACCCCAGCCTCCCCTCCACGTGGGCAGGAGTCACCAGCTGGAGATTGAGGTGAGGCCGGAAGGAAACCTTTGCTGAAGTGAGCTTCTCTTGAGCCCACAGGTTCCTCCTCTCCAGGAAGGAGACCACTCATGTGATGGGATCAGAGAGCATCAAGGTCAGGAGCCTGTTCTCCAAGGGACCCCCGACTAGAGGCCTCTCCTGGGAGCAGCTGGGCAGAGGCAGAAGAGCCCCAGGACAGAGCAGGTCCTAGAGTGGCTGTTTATTTCCCAGGAACAGCTAGAAACCACCAAGTCCTGGGTGAGTTGCTTGCTTGTCTATTCCATTTCCTCCGTTTATATTTTGTTTTTTTGTTTGTTTGTTTGTTTGTTTTCCATGGAGGAGGCCTGGGGATCCTTAGGTCAGTGGGCTGAATCAATTGCCTTTTTTTTTTTTGGTGGGGGGAGTACCAGGGATTGAACTCAGGGGCACTTGACCCCTGGGCCACATTCTCCGCCCTATTTTGTATTATATTTAGAGGCAGGATCTCACTGAGTTTCTTAGTGCCTTGCTTTTGCTGAGGCCGGCTTTGAACACTACCATGCCTGGCCTCAGTCACTTTTTGGTTGGTACCTTTTACACATCATGTGGCCTTTGTACACTCATACCTTTTTTATACCTTTGTTCATACATTCACTTACGTCTGCATATCTGATTGCTGCCTCCTTCCAAACCTTGAAATTATTCGGTTTTAGAGTATGCTTTTGTTTATGTGTGTTTACAAGGTGTGTGTTGTTCTGGAAGCTGTTTGAAATGCAGAATATCAGACTATACCCCCATTCTTAATTTTAGAGCCTTCATATTTACAATGATTAATATCAGACTCTTCTCAGGGCATGATGGATCATGCCTGTCATCCCAGTGACTCTGGAGGCTGAAGCAGGAGGATTGCAAGTTTGAGGCCAGCCTGGACAATTTAGGGAGACCCTGTCTTAAAATAAAAAATGAAAAGGGCTGGGGATGTGGCTCTGTGATAGAGCACCCCTGGGTTCAATCTGAGGATAGGGGAAAAAGAAATCAGACTCTTCATCTCTATGGGAGTCTTTGATTCATGTATAGTAAAGTTTACATCAAACTTGATACAAGTCCATATTCATATTTTACCTAGGGTAGTGCTTTTTATCATCAACATTTTTTGTTAGGAAGAATTTTAAATGCAGGCTAGAATTGAATGGCTGTTTCCAGTGAGCACATGCTTGTCTGGCACTTCAGATTCACCAGTAGCATTAGTGTTCAGTGTCTGTTCAGTTTTTTTTTTTCCTGGCTTGGGCTCTTCACTTTTTAAATGTCCTCCCACCCCATCTGAGTGGATGGCTAGGCCCCTCTCTCCTTCGTGGACATGTTTGTGTATTTCTCCTGGGAGGAGTGGCAGCTGTTGGATCCAGTGCAAAAGTGCCGGTACTGGAGCGTGATGTTGGAGAACTACTGCAATCTGGTGTCCCTGGGTAGGTGCCACTTCCTGAGGGGAGTGCGTATAGACCTGAGGCCACCTCCCCTACTGCTCTGTGGAACTCTTTGTGTTGTTGGCTTCACTTAGAGCTTTCCTTAGTCTCAGTTTATTGGTTGAATGACCTTTGCCTGAGTGCATGGTTTTCTCTTCACAGGGTATCCACACTACACCTGGTGTTGTCTTCAGGTTAGAAAAGGGGCAGAGCTGTGTGTGGTGCAGACTCAGAGCCTGAGTCGAGGCCACCCAGGTCAGTGATGGAGGTGATGTGCTCTCTCCTCTCTCTCAGAGCTGGTGTGAGTCTCCACGTGACTCACCCTCTTGTCTGTACAGTTTTGGTCTCCTTCACAGTCACGCTCTTAATTAACCTCCTCCTTGGCATCCTCCATTCCCCTCTTGCTTGATTGATGATATTCTCACTTTATTACTCATGTAAGCAAGGTTCCTCTCCCCCGCTTACTGGCGTGGCTTCCTCTCTGTCCTTTATACATGCATGCATACTTGTGTGTATATATATATACACACACACAGTTTATGCTTAAATTCAACAGGTGCAGTTCCAACTTTTTCTCTTTGTAAACTGTTGGGGAATCTTCGGCTTCTAGGTTGGCCTTGCTGGTTGCCTTAACATGCTCCTGTCACCCTCTAAGCACATCTAGCATCATATGAAGCCTGTCCCCTTCCCCACTTCAGTTCCCCACCCCATGGAGCCTGTCTTCATGCTGTTCCTCCAAGTCCTCGTTCCCCTCAGGTCTTCTCTTGCTCTTTCCTCTATGTGTGTGGGGGTCTTTGAGTATCCTTTTTTCTTTTCTTTTTTTTAAAAATTTTTTTTGGTTGTAGATGGACACAATACCTTTATTTTATTTATTTATTTTTGTGTGATGCTGAGGCTCGAACCCAGGGCCTCACACATGCTAGGCAAGCGCTCCACTTCTGAGCCACAACTCCAGCCCCTCCTTTATTCTTGTATGTTGTAACTCTGAGGGGTGTGTGTGTGTGTGTGTGTGTGTGTGTGTGTGTGTGTGTGTGTGTGTGTAATGCTGGGGATGGAGCCCAGGATCTTGTGCATGGTAGGCAAGTGCTCCACCACTGAGCAACTTCCCTGCTCATGTGTTGTAACTTTTAAAACCTTCTTAGTCCATTTTGGGTTCATATTAACTATACATAACATTGGGGTTAATTTTGACCAAGTAATAAAAGCATGGAATATATTTTGCTATAACTCACTGCCAAGTATTTACCCTTTTGTGGGGAGCCACTCTGAATGACCCATGCCTTCTGACCTATCACTACATTTCGTGGTGACTTGGGCGTTGCCCCAGCTCAAAAAGTAGAAGGCATGTCTTCAGATGTAGGTGTCACCCCTGAAGTTGAATTACACTAACCTGTTCCTTGTAACCCTGCCTCTTCTGGCCTTTTTTGGATAGAACTTTCAAAGAACAAGAGTTCCTGCAATAAAAGCCCACTTCTGAACGTGCTCTCTCTCTCTCACCAGCCTCTCGTGACTTTCTCTTGCTTTCCCATTTGGGGAGCCTGAGGCTGAGAGTGGAGAAGCCTTCCAGAAGCTTGTTTTAAGGTAAAATGTGTCTGTGTTTTATTTGGTGTACCTAGAAATTCACACAGGCGACCTTAACTTCAGCTCCTCATGCAGGTCGGGGGCAGCACCCTTTCCCTCTCCCATTCCCTTTGCTCTAGTCTACTGATTTGTCTGCTCTTTGTTCACAGTTTATTTTTAAATTAGTGTCTTGTGGATGTACATAATGGTGAGTCACTGTAATGTATTCATAAATATGCATAGGAAGGTTAGATCAGATTTATTCCATTGTCCCTTATCTCATTTTTTTCTCCCTCTCCCTCAACTCCTCAATCCCCTTCTTCTATGGTAGAGGTTCTTCTATTCCTTCATTACATTTATTCTCAGGTATTTCATATTATTTTTTAGGATATTGTGAATGAGATAGTTTTCCTAATTTCTTTTTCAGTCTTGCTATGTTACTGAGGCTGGTCCTTCTGATCCTCCTGCCTCAGTCTCCCCAGTTGCTGGAGTTATATACATGTGCCACATTGCCTGGCTTCTTGGTGTATGTTATTGAAGCACTTTCTTCAGTAGCACTTCCTTCCTGAGAAAGAGTGCATGTGATAGACACTTTGAGCCTTATATATCTGACAATATTCACTCTCAGTATTGTCAGTTGTTCTGTTTTCTGTCTTCAAACACTACTAATAAGAGGTCTGATGCCATTTTAATTTTTGGTCCATTGTATGAAACTTTGTTTTGTTGTTCCTCTGGGAGTCTTTAAGAACTGCTCCTTATCCTAAGTAGCTTCATGATGATGGTCCATGTGATCTAGGTGTTCTGTGGGACATAATTCCCAAAGGGATTATGAGCTAATCTGCAATGCTCTCTGCCATTTCTACAGAGCTTAGCACAATGTTTGGTACATAAAATGTATACAGTATTTGTTGAATGAAACTAATGCTTAAAGATCCCATACAACTTCTTTATATTATGCTCACTGTTCCTTGAGCGGATTTGTTTTTGTTACATTATACAAAACTTGGAATTCAAAACCATCTTTATTTGTTGTTAGTTTCTTATAGCAGTCAATCTCTCTTTTAAGATCTGATGTCTGAAACTAAAAATCTTATGACATGGTAATTTTAATGCAGTTGTATACCATACCAGGATCATGTTCTTATTTATAACATGACTAATTATTTTCACTTCTAGACAAAATCTGGGAGATTGGTGATCATACAGAGAGGCAACAGGAGAACCAAGGCAAGGTGGGAAGTGTGGCAAAAAGCTTTGAATGTACTTCATTTGGAGAATTATGTCTTCTCAGTACAAGTTATACTTCAAGACAATGTTCATAACTGTGGCACACATGGAAAGATGTTGAACTACGATATACTAATTATGAACTATGATACTAATTATGCTGGAAAGAATCCTAATGGGTTTCACATACAGGGGGAATTATTATTTTATTCTAAGCATGAGCAAACTGTTACTGGAATTACATAATATGAAAATAACAAATCTGGGAAAACTGAACAAGAAGTCACCACTTATTTGCCAGCAGGTGCATCATGGGGAGAAAGCCTATAGCAGCAGGTCATGCCTTGTAGTGCATCAGCAAACTCCTGTGGGAGGGAAAATCTGTGAATGCAGTGGATTTGGGAAGGACTTCAGTAGTAAGGCATACTTCATTGTATGCCATAAAACCTACACAGAAGAGAAACTACATGAAAGCAGTGAATATGGGAAAGCTTTTGTTTCACTCCACAACATGTCACACATCAGAGGATTCGTACAGGCAGTAATCCCCATGAATGTTGTGAATGTGGAAATGTCTGCAAAAGAAAAGACTAGCTCATTCTACACCAGAGAAGTCATGCAGGACAGAAACTCTATGGGTGTGATGAATGTGGGAAAGCTTTTGGTTTGAAGTCACAGCTCATTATACATCAAAGAACTCACACAGGAGAGAAACCATATGAATGCAGTGAATGTAAGAAAGCCTTCAATACAAAGTCAAATCTTATGGTATATCAGAGAACTCACACAGGAGAGAAGCCCTATGTCTGTACTGACTGTGGGAAAGCCTTCACATTCAAGCCACAGCTCATTGTACATCAGGGGGTACACACCGGAGTAAAGCCCTGTGGTTGTAATGAGTGTGGGAAAACCTTCAGTTTGAAGTCACAGCTCATTGTGCATCAGAGAAGTTACATAGGAATGAAACCATATGGATGTAATGAGTGTGGGAAGGCCTTTAGGAGAAAGTCCTACCTCATTATACACAAGCAG